GATGAACTGAAGTTCGGGGAAAATTGCTGGGCGAGCAGTCTCAGTACCACTAACAAATCTCAGTACTGTCTGCTAAAACACTATTGGAACTCAGGCCCTGCACAACGTAGTAACGACCAGGCACAGTAATGTAGCTTACTGACATAGAGAACTCTGAGTTACCTTCCACCTTGGGACAGAAGATAAGATGGTTATAGATCACCATCTGCTGGAGAGAGTATATTTTCCTTGACATAATCCATGGCTTTGGCAGCATCCACAAACTCCTTTTCAACGTTGTTGTAAGAGACACGGAATCTGGCAGGGTACAGGATGCCAAAGCGGACTCCCGGCCTATCGTGGAGTATCTTCCTCACGTCAGTGAAAGCCGCCCTGGCTTTCGCCACGCTGGCCGTGTAGTCAGGGAATATGGCAATTGGGTTTCCTTTGAAGTATAGTTTTCCTCTGCGCGCTCTCCTGAGGATGTCCGCCGCGTCTCCTTCGCTGTTTAATTTAGCAATAAGGCGGCAGGTCCTGATGGAATATATGGAAAGGTTCTCAGAGCATGTGCTGACGAACTGACCGGAGTCTTCACTAAAATCTTCAACCTTTCCTTGTCATCAAACACCGTCCCGCCCTGCCTCAAAACCTCCACCATCATCCCCATCGCCAAGAAGACAGCTGTGTCCAGCCCAAATGACTACAGGCCTGTTGCACTTACGCCTGTAGTGATGAAGTGCTTTGAGAAACTAGTCTGTCAGCACATCAGGGCCGGTCTGCCTCCCACTCTGGACCCCCACCAATTTGCCTACAGGACAAATCGATCCACCGAGGACGCTATCACCATAGCGCTCCACACTGCGCTGAGTCACCTGGAGCACCGAGGAAGCTATGTGAGAATGCTCTTCCTGGACTTCAGCTCAGCATTCAATCATATCATCCCGGAGATCCTGGTCCAGAAACTGTCTCACCTGGGACTCTCCACCCCCATCTGCCTCTGGATCAAGGACTTCCTGACAAATAGACCACAGTCTGTCAGACTCGGCCCCCACCGGTCCAGCACCATCACACTCAGCACCGGGTCTCCACAAGGATGTGTTTTGAGTCCCCTCTTATCAACAATAGACCTGTCTGGCACGCAGTATGTTTGTGTTTGGTGGACAACCTGGGCCCTATTTCAGGAAGCCGGTTTAGTGCAAACTCTGAGTAAGTACACCCTGAGTTAACGAAAACTCTGGGTTTTCGGTTTCACAAAGCGAGTTTAGATTAATTCTGAGTGAGTTACTATGACGACACACTCCGTGAAGCTAACCTGCCCCCTAGCAGGTTTACTTCAACTAACCCTGACTGTCTCCGCCTCTTTGTCAGAAACCTGACTGTAGGAAGTGTCAGACATGGCGTGCTCCGTCCTTGAAGAGCCAGTAGATGTTGAAGCCCAAATTCTCCGCAGAGCTCTCCGCCGGGGGAGAGTGATTAGAGCGCGTTTGGACATTTTATCATTTCCTGATGATTTCCTGTGCGAACGTCACCGTTTTTCAGCACAATCTATAATTTATTTGAATAACATCCTCAGGCCTAATATTGCTCATGTGACACATCGCGGACATCCTCTCAGTTCTGTACATATTATTTGTATTGCACTTCGGTTTTTTGCAAACGGGAGCTTTCTGTATAATATTGGTGATGCTGAGCACGTTTCCAAGGCTACCGTCTGTCGGGCAGTCAGGAATGTTACAGTTGCACTGAAACGTCTCCTGTACTCGTTTGTGGTGTTCCCCGGTCATAGACCCACAAGATTTATCAAAGAGGGATGCCACAAAATTGCAGGTATCAGGATGAACAGAACTTAATTCATGATGTGGTGATACTTGAACTACTACTTAAATTTTACATTTATTCTCACGGTTCCCAGGCGTGATTGGCTGTACAGATGGCACTCACATTCCAATCATTGCTCCTTCAGTAAATGAAGGAGACTATGTGAACAGGAAGTCTTTCCACAGCATTACTGTACAGGTACATGGTTCCCTGTAGCATTTCAAACTAACAAATTATTTCATTATAGTAATGGATGCTAATTTGTGTTCTCTGCACTGTGAAGATCATATGTGATGCTGCCAACATTATCACAAATGTGGAAGCCAACTGCTCAGCCTCTGTGAGTGGTGGTGGTGGAGGACCCCCACCTGTTTTTCGGGCCTCCGCTTTTTTTCTGTTGGCTATAACGGGTCACATTTGAGCATACAGAGTAAGCAAATATGTACTTGTAATGTGCTCAGATAATTTCAATAAGTGCTTACAGAGGGGAAGTTAATGTAGCCTCTAACTGCAGTTGATTTACATCGGACAAACAGACCAAGCACTATGGCTCATAATACAATTACACCTCACCTGTTTGGACTATATTTTTATATTTCATTTTTACTTGCTGCCAGGAACGTTTGGGGCCTGTTGGGTTGCACCTGCGCTCACATCACATCACAAAATAAAATGTATGAAATACAAAATATAATAAAATATAATAAAATAACGTGTTAAATGGGTGGAAATCCCTAGATCAATGTTTAAATTAACACTCACGCATTGACTCTGTCGGCTATGTTTTGCCATGCATGCTCCCTTTCTTTTGCAGCTGAGGCTGTGTTACTTTTTTTCCGTGGAATTTGCATGTTATCAGCATATGCTGCCATCAGAATTTCGGCCTCAAGCGCTGTAAAATACATTGACCGCGCCTTCTTTCCCTCCGTCTCCATGGTGACTCGCTTAATCTGTGCTCCACTAATCAGGGCTTTATGTATCCTCGTGCGCGTCTAACTTGGGGTTAAAGCAACTCCGCGTTGACTGAACTAATTGTTATCAGCCTTTCTGAAACCGAATATTCCGAGTTGGACAGTTCGGGGTTACTCAACCCTGCGTATGGTTTTTCACTCTGAGTTTTCTAAACCGGCTTCCTGAAATAGGGCCCAGGTCCATCACCTTCTTCAGTCTGTTTGCCAGCACTTTTGACAGTATTTCATAATCAGTGCACAATAAAGAGACAGGCCGCCCCTTCTTAATATCTTGGAAATCACCTTTCTTTGGTAACAGCGTTAGAACTGCTCTCCTGCAGCTCTGAGGTCTCTGAGCCTTCAGTGAAGCTCTCCTCAAAAACCTCCATGACATCGTCACAAAGGTCAGACCTTGCTCTGTCCTTTCTTTTTTCCAGAGAAAAGAAAACCTTCGTAGGAGCGTCCATCAGAGAAAGATTTTGAAATCTGCAACAAACCTGAGCCCCCTGTGCTCCAGAGCCCAGCAAGGCTTTTTTAGATTTGAGGTTCTCAAACCAAACTCGGTTTCCTGTAAAATTTGCAGACACCTCCAGCTCCACTATGTCAGTCTCCAGATCTCTCAGAGATTTGGCCGATGAGACAATGACAGTACACTGCTGACAAAATTCGTTGATTTCAGTTTTGCCAAGAACCCACCAGTGACTTAAAGACATAAAATCATCTTTCCGATTTATTTGCTTTATTTGCGTTCTCCACACTGTCAACAAAGATGACCACAGCGCTGAGTTCACCCACTGCCAGACTACACTCCTCTACTGAGCAAGGACAACTAGGTATGATCTTAAAACCATGTTGTCTCATGAGTTTAGAGAAGTCCATTTTGGCGATTTTGCACACTCAAAAAAAGTCAGTAATGCTTAATTTAATCAATTCAGAAAAGTAAAGTTAGAAACAAGTCCTCGATCTCTCAGTCAGACTCATCACACGCTCCACCGCCACACTCCCAGCATGCAATGCAGAAGGAACGAAAGAAAGATGCGGGGTACCAAGCACATTTTACACCTCTCCTGTTCACTGATAGAGAATTCAGTTTGCTCTCAGACAAACAAAACCACACGTGCCTGAGAGTTTAAAGCCATTTTAATCCTCATTACAACAACCATGTATGATCTGAAATTAAAGTGCAATCGGAAATAAAAAAACGTCTTCAAATACAACATTGTGAGGCTATGAAATTGTGTTGTAATCCCCCATCCCGTCATCCTGCCATGTTTTGGTAGTGTGAAAACTATTTTCTAAGTTATTAAGCATCAAGAATCATGTGTTTACACACTCTAATTATTGCAAAAAAGAGGAGCGCAGCCGTACCTCAGTAAGAGAGTTGATGTGGCAATACGCTAGAAGTTGCTTCTGCAGCGAGCAGAGAAGTTGGTGCAGGTGAGCCGGCTGGCTGCTGTCAGAGGAGGATGTGCCCTGCTGCAGCTTATCACTGTTCTTCTCCAGCTCACCGAAAGCCTGATCCTGTACAGCACAAACATACAAACACAAACATCTGTGGGTTCAGTTCCATTTATTTAACACTAGTCTACAACTGTCAAAGTCAGCTTTATTTTCAAAACCATGTACATGTACAGATCATACACAGGAGTCTGAAATCGCAGTGCTCCCACGCTCTGATTGAAATCTCATATACACAACAGTCTCAAGCCGACTGTTGTTGTGATTTGGTGCTGTATAAATAAAAATGAATTGAATTGAAAAAAAGTTATTTCATCCAAGTAGTTTCTAGTTTTGTTTTGTTCGTCTGGATGTCAGAGTTCCATCTGTGGCTTTGCGAGAGCAGAAAACAGAATGATGTGGATAATTGAGTCAGAAGACTCAAGAGGAAAAGTACAGTCAGAGGCAGTCTAACTAGCATTCAGTGTGCAGTGTGTTCATTTCTCGGTATTAACTTACAGTATAAAAGCCAAGGTTCCTGAGCAGCGTCTTCATGAGAATCTCGGCCAGGTGAGTGTCGGGGTGGCCTGTGGTGGTGCCGTAGGCAGGCTCTGGGAGAGCTGTAAAGGCAGGGCCAGATGAAAGTACCTCTGGGCCATCAGCAGGAGAGCTGTAACCCAGGAGTGAGGCCACGTGGGTGTGGTCCTGGAGGCTGGTCAGGATTATGTCGAGCTGCATCCTCTGTGACACAAAATACAAACATTCCTGAGCAATGCAGGCAACAGAGACAGAACCAATCAGCAAATTCATCTTTCACACCTGAGTAAGTGAGAATATATGAGGGCAATGTAAATCGATGCCATTGCTGCCCACCACTAATTTCCCTTTTGGTCTTCTGTGACTCCCCTCTGAAATTATTACGCTATTTAACATAAAAAACAACATTACCAAGATAAGTTACCCATGTTTCAGAGTTTAGTGTGTGATTTCTTTCTGAATCCTGTCCACAGCTACGTCTGTTCCTCAGCCTGCATGCTTGTATCTACATGGCACTGATGGATTTGTTCCTGATAATCATTCGATTTTATTAAAAAAAAACAGGTTCTGTTCCTCTTCTTTACAGGCTGTTTAAAGCATCAAGCAACGAATCCTGCGCAGCTCCATCTACACAGTATGTAGCATCGGGTACCTGTCCTTTGGAGAGACTCTCCCATCTGTCTGGACCCTGAGGTAGCAGAGAGTGAAGAAGCTCCATCCTCTCCCTCAGTGGTGGCAGCAACATGGTTGCCCCCACAGACAGAGTCTCAATCACTGCCTGAAGGAAGAAAGTATTTTAAAGTCAGTTTTAGGTTTCATTCTGATCACCTCACATAATCCTTCATGACTTATTTCTGTTATGAGTTCAGTCTGAATATTACTCTGTTGATAACAATTATCCGAAAAGCATCTTTTACCTCCTGAATCTCGTCTGGCACAGAGGAGTCCATCAGTCTGAAAAGGAGGTTCCTCAGTGGCCTGGCCTGCCGGCCCAAAATACTCGTTGCTACGCCCCCCGCCAGGGCCAGCGCCAGATGATTGGACAGAAGCCGAAGGCACAGCTTGAGGAAGTTGTGATGCTCCCTTCAAACAAATTTAAAAAAATTTTAATCCAGAACTTGGCAAGGTTACATTCTGATTGGTCACATATGATTTCACTAAGTGCAAGAAAGACTATACAGCAAGCCCAGGAGGGTTTATAACACCAGTGACGGCTGGTGGCTAACAGGCTCACCTGGATGAGGGGAAAGGAAGAGGAGGGACCTCGCTGTTGATGCCTTCACAGTATCGTTCAAGGAAGGAGCGCAAATGAGAGAATGTGCTTTCTTCTAGGTCAACGCAGTAGGGCCGGTGCCAAGCTACTACTTGCCTAGAAAGAAGTAATAAGTAAATATTAGTAAAGTATGTAAGGTACAGTAAATTACTTTGATCTGCAGTAAAGTGTTGTGTCGATGTCATAGACATAAAGGCCTGTGAAACCAAAATCCAAACAATAACTGTGATAACCACATTTGTATGTATCTCACATGTATGCTTTTAATCAATCAACACCTAAATGTGTTTGTTAAACAGCAGTTCTCTCACGCCGTCACCCTCGTTGACGCCTGTTGGCCTTTTTCAGCTGTTCCTGGAAGTGCATATCCTTAAAGACCTTGAATTACATATTTAACAAAAAGGCTGAACCACAGTGCTTCTCTTCTAAACTCATCTCCCAGGCTGAGAGGTAGGACCTCTGAGGATGCTCCAGTATCAGGGTATTTGTTTTGATTTGTGCTTTTCGATGCATTTTTGGAGACTGATTGCTGAGTGACTGCAATAAAACCCACCACTGTAACCTTTACTCTGAATCACAAGATCAGTGTGTTGGTTTTGCAGTTTCAGTACTTTTCACGTGTAGTTACTGCCCTTTGACTCGTGCTTCCTAGTAGCTGAAAAACAAATTCTGGTGGTCTTGCAACATCAGCTCTTGCCTGCAGTCCCACGTGAATATTTCCAGAGAGAAAATCATCATGATGGGATCAGTTCATGGTAACTGTTGCGGTAGCTGACCTGTCTCTGGGCAGGGCAGTCCAGGCCAGGCTGTGAGAGGTGCCAGCTGAGATCTGCTGAATGGCGACTCCATCCAGGCCGATGACCTTCTTGGGTTTGGTGATTGGCCCTGTGGAGTTCCCCTGCCCACACTGACCCATAGAGTTGTTGCCCCATGCATATACTTCATTGTCTGCATCGGGATTAAGCACAACACGATCGAAACAGATACGTCATATCTCAAGCTGGAAGTTACATATTACCCTAAATTGACAAGGTCTGCAGATTTGCTATTACATCAGGCTGCTTGCAACAGCCCTCAACAAACACAAAAATGTTCTGTGTCAGCAAAAAAACTGACTGGCAGAGACAGTTTGAGTATTTTAACTCTGATCCCAGACAGCAAGCGCACAAAAAGAGAAAAGTAGTACCATGTGACAGGGCCAGGCAGTGGCTGTCCCCAATGGAGATGTCCACTACTCTGGTGGTAGCCAGCTCCTCAATAAGTTTAGGTCTGAGTGCGGTGGCCTCAGAGGAACCACAGCCTAGACAAGCACCGCAGCCCCAAGCGTACACCTGAAAACAAGAGCGGGATCAGCATCAGCACAGCTTTCTGTCCTGGGCAGTGAAGCGGTACCTCAGAGACAAATAACTGGAAGAACAATATTATGGAACAAATCTCGACCTTAAATATTGAACTGTGTCCAACCAGCTGTCTGTTCAGTAGGAATACATAAACAGCTGCACGAAATTCCCTCTTTGGGATAAATGTCCATAAGTTTCAAGGATCTAAGCAGCTTGAAACAAGTTAATTTCAAGATGTTTTAAGATCCTTTTGAATACATTTTAGGGCATCTTTTAAAAATGGCAACAATATTTTCAGCGTGTTTAATTTGATTAAACACGTTGAAAATAGGCAGACTGCGATGTAAATGCTGTCACCAAGTGGAAAACAGTGATACACCTCCTGCTGTCAGGCCTGCAGACCTGTGATGTGCACCTCTGTCCTGTGGTACCCACGAACTCGCAGGTTAAATACCTGCAAGCTTTTTGATGAATATTAGTGCAGCGTTAGCCACGCAGGGCTTTGTTGCTATAAACACCAAAAATATAGCGTCATGGTAAGTGTACAAGCTGCAAAGGAACAACGATTTTTAAAACGTTATGTGTATTTGTAGGGCTGCACAATTTTGCATAAAATGAGAATCACGATTTTTTTTGGCTTAGAATTGAGATCACGATTCTCTCACGATTTTCTTTTCCAGTATAAATATTTATTGCACTTATTAACTGCACATCAACTTCGTAACAGTTGCGACTGAACATAAAAACAATAAATAAACATAAAAACAACAAATGTCTCACGTTTTGTTGCAGCAAAATGTTGTACTGCTTGAAATCCCGTCTCCACCGTTGCTCGACGCTGCGTGTATAGAGCAGGTAGCGCAACAATAGTTGCGGGACGGCACTGTGTAGCGTTTCTCTAGGTCAGGGGTGTCAAACTCAAATACACAGTGGGCCAAAATTCAAAACTGGAACAAAGTCGCGGGCTAACGTTAATATTTATTGAAAAACAAATCTTTCTCCAGATATAAGAATGAATCTTTTCTTATGGACTCAAATAAGTTTTGCTGAAAAACTGAATATGGAACAAGCAAAGCTTAATACTAAACAATATATATATTAGCTGTATGATACCAGTAGGCCAGCTCTAATAGTCATTTGGTTTGGCTTCGTGGGCCAAATGTAGTTAGGCTGCGGGCCAAATTTATTACTTAGGTGCTAAGTGATAGCCTCCGTAATTTCTTTGTGCCTGCGGGAGTTTGATGCGTATAGGGAAGCGCTGTATGAGGTTCCCGTTATTGGTGTTTGGGTGGTTGACCGGGACGGATTTTCTCCTGTCACTTTCTCGTCATCCCTGACGTGCTCTCCGTTGTTTTTTCACTGCTAATTTTAGCAGCCAGCTTCTGTATCACGTGGTATAAGGCTCCGCCCTTGTCATTTGTTGAGCAAGAAGAGTGAGCGCTTGTTTTCATGCAGAGTACGTCCCGGATCAAAATGCGGTACAATCGTCATCTTTTTTTTTTTTAAATCGTCATTTGGAAATGATTATGAATCGAGATCGCGATTTTCTAACGATTAATCGTGCAGCCCTATGTATTTGCTTTGTGGTTTGTGGCAAAACTGCATATATTACACTAGTGAGTTCTGATTTCATATTGGTTAAGAGAAGTAGAAATTTCCCCCTCTGAGAGGGGGCGAGGATCATGTTTAAGCACTTCTATAATGATTGACTTTATAATTTTAAGATCGATCAAAATAATTTTACAGATATTTTAATGCTTAAAACTAAGATTACTGTATTGCAGACTTTTTATAACTCTTGGTTAGCGGAAACACAAATCATGTCCTACCTGTCCTGTAGAAGTTAATGCAAGAGATGACTGGCTTCCTGCACACACTTTTCTGATGAACATGCCCTGCAGGGCCTCCACTACTTTTGGTTTGTAGACTCGATTAGTATCGCCATGACCCAGTTTCCCTGCAAGACACAGAATGAACATTCTTAAATGAACTTATTTGCAGTTTACACATACTGGCCACTTCATTAGTTACAGCAAACATCATGGATTTACTGCAGATTTGTCAGCAAAACATCCTTAATGTGAATTTCCTGTTCCACAACATCCCGAAGTTGCTCTACTGGTTTAAGATCTGAGATCAGTGAAGTCACTGTTGTGTTTGAGAAACCAGGGTGAGATGACCTGCGCTTTGCGATGTAGTACATCATCCTTCATGTAGCAGCCATGAGAAAAATGAGTAAACTGTGGTAATAAAGAAATGGACACCTAACAGTAGCATTCTCAGTTGGTACTGTAGGGCCCAAACTGTGCCAAAAAATATCCCCCACATAATTAAACCACCACCTTCAGCTTAAATGACTGGTACAAGGCAGGATCACTCTATACTTTTGTGTTATTCTGAACCTATCTTTTTGCTGTAGATAATCTGACTGAATGTTTAGCAAGTTGTGCAGTCAAGCTCTTCTGCAGACCCTGGTTGTACTGACTGGTTATTTGAATGAATATTGCATTCCTATCAGCTCAAAGCATCCATTCAACTGGCCATTCTCTGACCTTTGGCATTATTTGTTCCACAGAAGTGCCAATGCAGATGACCACATTTATACCCTTAGTTCTGAAGTCTGTTTGACAAATGAAGGGGTACACACCATTGTCCCCTCCCCCAAATGACCAGACAGTGCGTCCATCCTTTGACAGAGCAATAGTGTGGGAGCTTCCACATGACACCTCTCCAACATTGCTGATGTCTTTGACCAGGGTAGGAATGTTGCGGCTGTTGCTGTCACCGTGACCTGCATTCACACATAATAAAAAGGGTCAGGCTATTTGCAAATGGAAATTCTGCAACACAAATGAAAAGCAGCAGATAATATACCAACTGGAACAGAGAGTAAGCATCTGCACGGATATTTTGATGCTTAGGTTATGTATATAACCCCGGTTCTCTGAGTAGCATGAGTGAGTGTCTCACTAAGGGAACGCCTCCTGCGTGACCTCATCAGAAGCTCAAATACCATTACGCCAGCTCTTACAGGCTGGCTAGGTGACGCCCATGTCAGGAGGGGCCAGTGCCTCCCTATATAATAGGCTGACATAGCGTCAGATGTCATTCAAAACAAGCCCACCTCTTCCTCGCTTCCATAGCAAGGAGGGCGGTCTGGTGAGACACTCACTCATGCTACTCAGAGAACCGGGGTTATATACATAACCTTAAGTTCTCTTTCATAGCATTCGTTTCGTGTCTCACTATGGGAGCAATACTGACTCCCGGATTGCCAGACATGCCTGTTAAGAAGACAACTGTCCCCAACAGCACTTCACAGGGGAGAGGCCCCCACCCGGGAAGAACCTGCACTGAGGACTGAATGTGCTAGGTTAGGTGCTGTCACATCTAACCTGTAAAACCTAGCAAATGTATGAGGTGAGGTCCAGCATGCAGCTGCACACACCTCCTGAATAGAAACTCCCCTAAAGAGAGCCCATGAGGTTGCCAGACCTCTAGTGGAATGTGCACGTAAGCCAGCAGGGGGCTGAAGGCCCCTGCTAGTATAGGCCAGGGCAATTGCTCCTACTATCCAATGGGAGAGGCGCTGTTTAGACACAGGCTTTCCCATATGTGGTTTAGCCCAAGACACGAACAGCTGGTCACTTTATCTGACACTCTGGGTTCGGTCCATGTACATGCGCAGGGCACGGACTGGACACAAGGTACGCGGCCGCTGTTGCTCCTCTGACTGATGCACTGAGAGAGCGTGGACCTCTCCCACACGTTTAGCAGAAGCTAAAGCAATTAAAAGAGCCGTCTTCAAGGACAGAAATTTCAACTCAACCTGTTCCAGGGGTTCAAATGGGCAACAGGAGAGCGCAGCCAATACTGTGGGAAGGTCCCACAATGGAGCCAACGGCCTAGACGTAGGCAATTTACGCCGTGCACCCTTCATGAAACGGCATATTAAGGGATGCTGGCCAACAGTCTTTCCCTCAAAACCAATATGGCAGGCTGAAATTGCTGCCAAATACACCTTGATGGTGGAGAAGGCTTTACCCCTATTAATCAGGGCCTGAAGAAATGACAGAATCACAGCCACACAGCACTGAAAAGGGATGGCCTGTGATTCTAAGCACCAGCTTTCAAACACACGCCACTTGTGCTCATATAGCGTCCGAGTAGACGATGCTCTAGAACACTGAATAGTGTCGATAACACTATGAGGGAGCCCCACCGTGTTCAGGTTAAACCACTCACGGGCCAAGCCCATAGAGCTAGCCTCTCTGGGTGGGGGCGGAATATTTCTCCCTGTGCCTGAGACAGGAGGTCTCTGCGTAGTGGTAACGGCCAAGGAGGGCCGCACAGCTGCTGAAAAATCTCCGCCAGCCAGTGCTTCCCTGGCCAGTGCGGGGCTATCAAGATCATATAGTGACTTCTCTCCCTCACTCTGGCCAGAGTTGGAGAAATGAGGGCCACTGGGGGAAAAGCATAGAGGAGGGTTCTCGGCCACTCGTGAGCTAGAGCATCCACCCCGAGTGGAGCTCTCTGATCGTGCAGCGAGTAAAACAGGGGACACTGAGCATTCTCCCTGGATGCATAAACGTCCACGGTCGCCTGACCGAATCGCAGCCAGATCTGCTTCACCACCTCTGGGTGAAGCTTCCAGTCCCCATACAGCGGGTTGCCCCTGGAGAGAAGATCTGCTCCTAAGTTCAAGACCCCCGGCACGTGAGCTGCTCTCAGTGACAGCAGGTGGACACTGCTCCAGACTATCAGTCTGTGTGCCAGTGTGTATAACTTGCGGGACCCCAGACCCCCCTGTCTGTTGATGTAGGCCACAACGGTGGAATTGTCTGACCTCACTAAAACATGATGACCTCTCAGCCAAGGGAGAAAGTGTTTTAGCGACAGGTGAACCGCCAGCAGTTCCAGACAGTTTATGTGGGCGGAGCGCATGTGAGGGCCCCATTCCCCATTCACTGTTCTGCCCTCGTGGGTGGCCCCCCAGCCGGAAAGAGAGGCATCTGTGGAAATCACCTTCCTGGCTGAAACTGCCCCCATGGCAACGCCCTGAGACAAGAAACCTGGCCTTTTCCACTCGCGGAGAGCGAGTGAACAGTCTGCAGAGACTCTCACGCGACGGTGGCCGTCTCGGTGAGGGTCCAGTCCCCGCGAGCCCACCCAGCGCTGAAAGCCTCTCATGTGCAGGCGTCCCAGTGTTATCGCCAC